GTTTTTAAACCCCCCCTCAAGGTCCCCCCTCACGAACCAGCGGCCGCGGGGCCTCCGCGACCCCTCCCCGGGCTCTGCTGGAAAATGGGCTCGTCCAGTTCCCGTCCCGGGCCCCTCCTTTCCCCCCCCCGCGCTGCCCCTCAGGGTGGTACGGTCCGAACCGCCTCCTCTCCGCGCATGCGCGCGCTCGGAAAAAAGGGGCGGGGCGACGGGAGCGACCCCCGCGCGTGCGCAGAGCGAAGGGCGGGGCCGGAAATGGCGGGAAAACGGGGCGTGGCGGGAAAAAGGCGCCCCCTGGCGGCGGGGGGGAAACCCCGGACCCCCTTTTTTGGGGGGTCCCCAAATCCCTGGGACCCCTTTTTTGGGGGGGATAAAGGGGGGCTGGGCCTATTTTTGGGGGTCCTCAGCCCATTTTTGGGGGGTCCCAGGCCCATTTTGGGGGATCCGTAGCCAAATTTCGGGGGTCCCCAGCCCATTTTTGGGGGTCTCAGCCCTTTTTTGGGGGATCCGTAGCCCAATTTCGGGGGTCCTCAGCCCAATATTGGGGGTCCCAGGCCCATTTTGGGGGATCTGTAGCCCAATTTTGGGGGTCCCAGGCTCATTTTTGGGCATCCAGAGCCCATTTTTGGGGGATCCAGAGCCCAATTTTGGGGGTCCCAGGCCCTTTTTTGGGGGATCCACAGCCCATTTTGGGAGTCCCCAGCCCATTTTTGGGGGATCCGTAGCCCAATTTCGGGGGTCCCCAGCCCATTTTTGGAGGTCTCAGGCCATTTTTGGGGGGGTCTCAGGCAGTTTTAGGTGGGTTTCAGATGGTTTTCAGGGGTCCCAGGGCCATTTTTTGGGGTCCCGGGGCCATTTTCGGGAATCCGTAGCCCAATTTTGGAGGTCCCCAGCCCTTTTTTGGGGCATCCAGAGCCCAATTTTGGGGGTCCCAGGCCCATTTTTGGGGGTCCCAGGCCCATTTTCGGGGGTCCCGGGGCCGTTTTCAGGGGTCTCAGGCACTTTCAGGTGGGTTTCAGACAGTTTTTAATGGTCCCCAACCCGTTTTTGGGGGGTCCCCAGCCCATTTCTGGGGGGTCTCAGGCACTTTCAGGGGGGTTCAGAGGGTTTTTGGGGGTCCCCAGCCCATTTCTGGTGGTCCCAGAGCAATTTTTGGGGGTCCCCAGCCCATTTTTAGGGGTCTCAGGCACTTACAGGTGAGTTTTAAACAGTTTTTGGGGGTCCCCCAGCCCATTTCTGGGGGTCTCAGGCGGGTTTTTGGGGGGTCTCAAGCAGCTTTAGGTGCATTTCGGGCAGTTTTTGATGCTCCCCAGCCCATTTTCGGGGGTCCCAGGGCTGTTTGGGGGGGTCCCTGACCTGTTTCTGGGGGTCCCAGACCAATTTCTGGGGGTCCCTGACCTATTTTGGGGGGTTCCAGACCCACTTTTGGGGGTCCCCGACCCATTTTTGGGGGTCCTTGACCCATTTTTGGGGGTCCCCAACCCGTTTTCAGGGGTCCCCTGACCTATTTTTGGGGGTTCCAGACCCATTTTCTGGGGGTCCCTGACCTATTTTGGGGGATTCCAGACCCATTTTCGGGGGTCCTTGAACTGTTTCTGGGGGTCCCAGACCCGTTTTTGGGGGTCCCAGACCCATTTTCTGGGGGTCCCTGACCTATTTTGGGGGGTTCCAGACCCATTTTTGGGGGTCCTTGACCTATTTTCGGGGGTCCCCAAGTTGTTTCTGGGAGTCTCAGACCCATTTTCGGGGGTCCCAAACCCATTTCTGGGGCTCCCAGACCTATTTTCAGGGGGTCCCTGACCCGTTTTCAGGGCTCCCCAAGTTGTTTCTGGGGGTCCCAGACCCATTTTCAAGGATCCCCAAATTGTTTCTGGGACTCCCAGACCCATTTCTGGTGGTTCCAAACCCATTTTCGGGGCTCCCCGACCCATTTTCAGGGCTTCCGAACCCGTTTTTGGGGGTCCCCAGCCCGTTTTTTGGGGTGTCAGTCGTTTTTGGGGCGGCTGAGCCCCCTCCAGCGGCGCAGGTTGAGGAGCAGCAGCAGCAGGTTGAGCAGGTAGGTGCTGAGGCAGACGAGGCAAAGGTCCCTGAGGCCGAAGAGCAGAACCCCCGCCAGCCACAGCGACGCCAACACCGACACCACAGACGAGCCCAGGAGGGCAACTGCAGCCCCA